ACCGTATGAGTGAAAAAGCCCAGAAACGAGACGTGTTTTCAATAACGACCCTCATGCAAAAGTTTTCAAGGTGCTTTTCCAGAAACCAGAAGTGTTTTCAATAACGACCCTTATGCAAAAGCTTTCAAGATGCTTTTCCAGATTTGAAAGCGTTATCTTTATCGCACTACATAGAGTTTCTAAAGTTTCCTTCGCAGTTGCGCAAATTTTTTGACAAGATAAATATACCACCCATTCAAGGTTGATGGGTACAAATTAAACCATTACTGCTTGTGCGTCCAAGCTTCTGTGTATCATCTTTGTTTCCTCTTAAGTTGAATATAAATTCCGCACTACACTATGTACAATATCCTATAAAACAGTCTATATATACCACTGGCAAATACATGTTTTATAGTGCGCACAAAACTATGCAGCATGGTATCTATGATGAATATAAAATCTAATATTTATCCATTACTTTTGTCTAACTCTTTCTTACATTTTTCTTATTAGCATAAGATAAGACATTTGTAAAGCTAGTTGTGAGACCATAAGGCACTCTGCATAAAATATATAGTCGAATAAAAGATATTTTACAAGATTACAAGACAGTATTTTTTTTTTTTTTTTTTGTTTTTTTTTTAAACTTTTCTTTTGCAACCATCTCACGAACGTGCTTAGTATTCCGTACAACTTATTTTCTTTATGGTTACGTAAACCCTCATGTTCAAACTTGAATATATTTATTTAAATTGCCATAAATGTTTATACTTAAACTCTCGATTGCATTTTATAATTATTATACGCATCGCATGCTTCAACATATATTAAGTACAACAGATTTTTATAACACCTAAAAATATGTGAAGGAGAACCAAATGCACTCTACGCATTGTTAGTGAGAATGAATTCTGACATTCGTTTGTTTATGTCGATTTGTCCACTTGTTTGTTTATTAAACTAAGATTTCTTTTGAAAAGTCAAACTTGGTTTTGCAATTCCGCTTTTTGCTCAAATGAAGCTGACCTCAGGCAAGCTCCTGGCAAAATTCTGAACTGTTATTCGTTAAATAAACGCATCCTGTAGTCTATCGTGTGTGTGTTATCGTGTGTGTGTGTGTGTGTGTAGAAATTCTTCTTTTGCTTCATTATAAATTATGCTTTCATTGCGTATATTGCGTTCACGCAGAGCACATCGAATCTATGTCCATGTATCCATGTACACTTTGGACGTACCATTATGGCTGTTAACAGGTACAATGTATGTAGAGTGCATCAAATATTCTACGTTCTTCGTTTTCCTCGCAAATTTGATTGGAAACCAACTTAGCCCTACTTTGTCCTTAAGTTTGTCTTCTTTCTTACCTGATCAAACCAAAACTCCGATCTCAAAATTATGTTTCAATTTAAATAATAATAAGGTTTTCGTTTTTTGTTCTTTTCAAAAAATCAACTAAATGGAAACACATTTAACTGAAAATCGGAATTTTAGAAATTCGTCCTCTAAAGTATCATTAGTATTATAATCTTCTGCGAATCAACTAATAAACGGGTAGCTGGTCTAAATAACCCTATCCAAGTGACAATATAGAGTTCCCGCACGGACAGTGTAACAGCAATAAAAGTAAATCGTAGCAAATCGTAACGAGAGCAAGAAGGTAGATCGTCAGGGATTGTAATGTGAAATATCAATCTCGCTCAATAAGACCGCGGACTTACATTCGCCAAGTGGAGAACAAGACGCGTAACTGGATTACGTCAAGCCACTTATTTTTCAAGCCAGTCAATAAGGCTAAGACGTTTCCCATAAAGAGATAATAGTACTATGCGGGGTGCCATGCAAAGCATCTTCCTTTCAATCACATATACATTCAGCAATGTGATGCCATAGTAGTAAGATATTGATTGAAAACTCACAATGATGGTACATACATACATCATAGGCATTCAAAAGTTCTATATAAACCGAATATAATTTATTTTATTTTTTGCTGACGTGACTGTGAAACCATATATATATTAAACGCACGTGAGCGCCTAATTAGCAATTATTAGTTGAAATAAAGTTTTAACTTGAACTTGAAAATGAACGAATTGTTAAAGCGCAAGCATATTATGCATAAAATTAGCGGTTTGTGTAAACCACGCATTGTCTATAGTAATAGCAATTAGAACAATGCTTTTTTCTTACTCATGGAGATAGTAACGAAATAAAAGTTAAATTAAATGAATACAATTACTTGCGAATTAAATTATCATGTATTAATTTTTCTTTTTTTTTCCACAAACCAAACAAAAACGATGAAAATAGTTTAGCAAACTTTAATTTAAAATATGTTTCACACTATTTCTCCAAAGTACATCCAGAGGCAATAAAACAATGTGAAATATTTTAAATTGTATAACTTATGTTATTGCCTTGGAATGAATATTTTTCGTATCTAATTTTCCTTTGAAAATTTCTCATATGCACTAGAAACGACTAAATGGTATAAATCGAAAATTCGTAATCTTAACATAATTCATAAATAAATAACAACACAAAGCAAATCTTTATTGTCTAGCAATAGAAAGTGTTATTATATGAAATAAACTTTTGCTAGATTTTATTTTAGAAATTTCTAGATTCTGACTTAAACTTTTCAATGAAAAATTAATTTATGAATTATTCTATTTCGCTATTTGTTGCTATGTTGTTATTCAAAATGTATTCAATGTTTTTACTGTTTTTAATTTGTAATGCTTTCATCCGTGGAATATTTTCTTGTTACTAAACCCAATATAACGAAAGTTCAATACGCTCAGCAACACTTTTCTCTTTTCACTTTTCGCTGTCATAAAATACCAAAGCTCGACCTCCTTATCTGATATCGTATTCCAAACCGTTTTCCAAACTAACCGGTGTAAGGAGTGAGGGTCAAAACATAGATGGGCTTGATCCAGATTTAACCAAGTACATTTCTATATAAAATTGCTATTCTAAACAAATTTTCAAATGGGATTTCGTCGCCATGTACGGGTTTTTTTATATGGGAGGCCTTTTAAAAAAATGCTTCCACTCGGTAAAAACTCTACCAATACTTTTACTAGTTTTCAATGATTTTTGTTGAGAACAATATTAAGAATGATAACTTTATCTCTTGAGCTGTAAGTCGAACACAAAAATAGTTAGGCATACTGACGGACAAACAACTTTAGAAGTCTATACGGGGAATGACTCTTAATCGATATGTGTTAAACAAAAGCGACTCCATCTTATTTGCCTTGTTCTGTGCACAACCTTTATCACAAGGTAGGTAGGCTAAGATAATAAGTTGTAGCATACGAATTTATACGCGTACATATTTTTATAAATATATACATGTGCATGTATACGTATATGTTAAATATATATACTTGGAAGTGATATTGCGTGCTAGTGAGCTAATAGTTACGAGTTTATTCAGCTTGAAAAAGTGAAAAATTTACTCGGTACATAAAGCAAGAAAATTAATTTGATGCAAGTTCGCGCCGATTCTTCTGTGACTATCATCTGCAATTTGCAAACTTTTTTCAAATAATAGCTGCCAGTTTTAAGTCCGATTTGTTAGAGGGAATCATATACCAACCATAGGGACTTGTTGAAAATAGATAAACCGTATATACGATGTGCACTAATCTGTGAAACTAGAATTTTAAGCAGGCATAACCAACTAACAGACCAAGCACAAATGAGAACTCTGACCTGAGACTAAAACGTTAGCAGATAAAGTAAAATATCGTGTGTAGGAGAAACGTGCGAATCGTGTTATTAGAATACTCAGCTGATAAGTTGCTCTGAATAGAAGAGAGCTGTAACTTTCGTGGCGCTCTTGGGTACGATGGCTGTTTATACTCTCAGCTCGATCAATGTATCACCAACTAGGCAGGTTCATTACAATCTCTAATAAACTTTAAATTTTTTCACTTTTGAAACACTTCGAAAACACATAGCTTAGTACCCAGCATCCAACAAACTGGATGTAGTCTCTTCCCTGACGGTCAGCACAAAAAGGAATAAATTTAAAGCGAAGGGCTTCAAAAGCAAATATTTTTTAAATGCTTTTCAAGTGGAAACTTTTTCAATGATTTTCTTCTGATTGTACATAAAACGAAAATGAACGTTCTACGTATTTCTTTGTGGTAAACGATTAGTTTCATATTTCAAAAGAAGTTTTTACGCCAAAACTGTTGTAGCTGCCGACAATTCTTAAACATCTTCTTACATACTATGAGTTTTACAAAGTATATTAAACGGAAACTTTCCATTCATTTACTACTTAAGAAAATGAAAGCATTTTTCTGAAGAAAATAACTGGAAAAAACCTAAAATTAACGGGAAAAATAATGTGAAAAAATTAACACAAAACAACCACAAACACTTGACGAAACTGCAAACAGTCTATAGTCAACCTGTCACGAAAGAGTTAAGAATTACAAGGAAAGTACTCTAAGCTAAATGAAAAGTTTCGCGGTGGCCACGTTCAGCAATCCGCACGGCAAGCTTATCTGCATTAACCTTAAACTAAGCGGAAAAATTAAATGCTAATTAAAATTAAAACAAATAAGTAACTTTAAGGTCTTAGCTTGTAACTGAAACGAACAGAAAAATATTGCAAACTAATTGCAGTAAACTTGCCATTGATCATAAGTTGGCTTTACTTATGCTAACTTTTCTCGCTTTTAAGCTTTCGTGAACATCTCGCCATCAGCAAGAAACAGACAAGTCAAGGTTCGATTATTTATATCCCAAATCTAATCTCTTTAAGAATTTCCATATAAGATGGCAGATACGAGTAGAATCTCACTTTCCCCCACCTAACCGACTCTCTATGCAATTAATGAGATCTCTTACACATATTTACGAATTTCGACGCTAATGACTGCGGCAAACAGAACACGCCTCTGTTCATATTTTTGTTAAATGTCAACATTTATTTAATCTCTTCCATAATTGGAAGCTTATGCTATAAAGTAACAGAGCAGTAAAATTATACTCACAGTCTTCCGATTCAAACGATTATAGTCAAATTAGGCTGAAATGAAACGAAAAAAATAAATATTATTATTATTATTATTATTATTTTAATTTTAGACTAATGAAATGAATTCTTAGACTAAAAAAAGACATTGAGCACTAGCAACACAGGCTATCGGCTCAAAAAAAATAAAAATAAATTTAATGAATATTTCATAAAAATGGAGAAGTATTAGTGGTATTCAGAGAGTGACCCTCATATAAAAAACGATGTACATCTGCAGTTTAGAGATGTCTACAAGAAATTAACCATATATATGCGCAGTAAGTCATTGAAGATGTCTATCAACGAACCATATCTCCACTAACTCATTCGGACGTTATAATGTGAGTATCTTCCTCTGCACCTAAAAATATTACATCGACATGGCACCTCAGAAATTGTCAAGACTTTGTTTGCACAAAGATGCCACTTAGAGGTCAATTTTTTGTAGTTCATCTTACTCTATGCCTTTTAATCCAATGGAAACTCCATTGCTGGAGATAATCTTACAGAGAAATCCTCACTACACTCATTATAGACTAGAATTTGAAACAAAGCCATCTTTTAGGCGCAAATATGATACAGACATAAACGAAGAGACGCATAGCTAATGAGAATGCTCGATAATTATTAAAATTTGCAATCAGAAGCATGCATACCTTGAATGTTCCCTTTATCCCAGCTCTACTAAGTTTTACTGGTAATCGAGCTTTTAAGTTTGCTTCTAAGAAAATTCGCATTTTCTAATACTTGATGACGACTGTCATGGGGTAAATTTCTAGTCTGCTCAGTAGGATTCTTACCAAATGGAATATTTTTCTTTTCATAATTAAATGATCTCGACTCTCACTCCAACACACTAATTGAGTTGTATGGAGCAGTTATTTGTTAAAATTCTCTTTGTTAATTTACACGGCTACGTAACGAAATGCAAGCTTATATTCCTAAACTATGTTTTATTCAATTGTTTAATTAAATTTTGGGTGAGGATACGTTGAGCGTACATCATTTGCTGGGGTAAATTTGGAGGGAAATTTGGTGATTCAGTGGTTAGATGATCATATGCTTGTCCTTCCGCCATTTTACTGACCGTTATTGTTGGTCGATTGCCAGGAGCAGACTTTTCGTAAAGGAAAAATTATAGGAAAATCGATGAAGCGAAACATCTGCGTCTGCCCACAATGCAAAGCGTCGATCTGGGAACAGAAGGAATACCACGGAAGACAAAGATTCTTTTGATGCATTGCGTACAAAATTATTATTATTTTTTTTCCTTTTTTTTTAATGACCAAGCAGCCAAGAGAGAAGAGTTGTACGACTAGACTGTCCTAACTGAAGTTAGCGCAACTAAAGGAAGGACTAGAAAGGAGAGTAATTTTAATAAAGAACTCGATTCGTGAAGGGATCTGCTTTTATAGAAAACCTGCAATGGGACGACCTACACATACACACAGCATAAGCTCCTTTAGAGCCATGCTCAGAAATGCCCAGATTGTTGGATCCACATGCGTCATCTACAAGCACGAGAGTTATTTGCTATAACCGATCTCTTCAGCTGTTACGCGCTATATTGGAAGCACTAGAGTTAGACGTGCTTGCTCAAGCATATTACTTCTCGTGTTTGAGTGAGAGCAGCAAAAAGTGCGCGAACAAAGTTCGAAGAACAACTGTTTTTTGGCGTGGAATACTGGCGCATATTATGAGATTAAGGAGAAAAAGATATTGTTAGCCATGGGTAGGTAGTATTTCGAATAAAATTTTTTTGATTACCTTCTTATAATAAACGTGTATTTTCGATATATTTTCTGCACAAACTAATAGAGACCGTGGATATGCTACGGATAAGGGCCGGCTTTAAGTATCTCTCTTAAAAATCTTAAGCTCTTGATTATGTCTTTCCTTGCTGTTTTATTCTACGGACGTCGCTTTGCTTTTTCGTTCTCACATTATCAAACGCTATCGATCCGTTTACATTAACATCCGTCCTCGATTACGTTTGCTAGCTTGTCGCAAACGTACGAGTTAAGGACGTAATATCGCACTACTTAACCTACTTCATCTTTCTTCGTTTTCTCAAATCAAGCACCACCTTAGACAGATAGCGTGATTGTATAACAAACGTGTAACCTTTAGGTCTTTACATAAGGGATAAATTAGAAACTGTATTTCTATGATGGCAGCAGTATTCGTAGTTCTTGTAAGCTTAAAAAGCTTTAAGGCATACGTCATAAGTTATTACATCAATTACTCAATTACAACATCAACTCGATTATTGCATGAAAAACCCTAATGCCGGATTTTATATATGATTTCTTCGTAAATAACTATGACAAATAATCCATAACAGTGGCAGTTTATTAATTATACTGTCAAATATTTGCTAAATTATTTAAATAATCGTATTATTACCCATTGCATGACATGAAATTATATGCATAATAATGACTTTGCGGACACAAAGTCAGAAAATGTGTCATTTAATATTCATATGCTGCCTAACGATTAAATTTGATGATATGCCTTTAAATATTTGTCAAAAGTTTTTAGAAAAAAAGCTGCATTTTATGAAACAAGGAGGCAGAACAAAACGAATAAACAAAAACAACAACAATAAACATTTGAAATGATTTAAATTAGTTTTAATTGCAATTAAATGCCTACGGAAACGGTTGGCACGCAAAAATCATTGTTCTCAATACGGGAGATCTCAATGACGGTATTGCATCGTTCAAGGCCGCCTGAAATATTTTTGGACAGATTTCGGCAAAAGGAAGATTTAATAGATTCAAGAATTCATCGAAAAATCAAAATATCTCTCGTTTTATGCGTACTGCTGATGGTGGGCGAGCTAATCGGTGCTATATTGTCCAATAGCCTGGCTCTGGCTTTAGATGCTACGCATCAATTGGTTAATTTTGCCACATTTCTAATTGGTTTGTTTGCGGTGTGGATGGCAAAGAGGCCTTCATCAGGGCGACTAAATTACGGTTGGCATCGTATCGAAGTCATTTGTGCCATTTACACGATTTTATTCGTTTGGTTTATTACCGCATCGCTCGTTTATTTGGGCGTTAGAAGAATTATTAGTGGCGGCTATGAAATAAATGCTACAGTCATGCTGATTGTTTCTGGCATAGCTGTAACCTTTAATGTAGTAATGGGTTTCCAAATACGTACAAATATGGATGAAAAAATTTCGAAATTCTTTGGCCGCAAGGAAAGATATGTTACACCGTATAGAAAACAGGCTTTGTGCTACGCTCATGCGAGCATGTACGGCGTTGGTAATATAAACAAATCTGTACAAACACCCGATAGGTGGAGAGACAGCAATGATTTACAACATCCTTCGCTGCATTTAATGAATGTGCCTTCAAAAATCATAAACCTTGATGCGAAGAAAACGGATAACAAGCATTACACTTTGCGTGTAGCAATTATTCACTTCATGGCCGATATGATACAAAGTTTGGGCGTGTTTATAGTCGGCTGGATTATACACACAAATCCCACTTGGGTAATAGCTGATCCAATATTAACCTTTATATTTGCCGTTCTTGTGGCCGCTTCAACGTTTATCGTAATACGCGATGCTTTATTTGTGCTTATGGAATCGACACCAAGTTATTTGGATTTCCAAGAGATACATAGCACATTCTTAAGTATAGAAGGTGTGAAAAATGTTCATAATTTACGCGTATGGGCTCTTAGCATGAATAAAGTTGCTTGTGTCGCACATTTGCAAATTTCTGAAGGAACTGATCCTCAAGTAATACTTCGGAAAGCTCGGCTACAAGTTCATAGACGTTATAATCTCTTTGAGACAACCATACAAATCGAGGAGATATAATTAAGTAAATTAATGTGTTTTAAATAACTCATAAATAAATTAAATGTTGTGCCAAGTGGCGAAGTGGCAACGCTCTTGCGGGCACATAATGCGATAAGAATAATCAAATCACTGTTGGGTTAAATGTGTATAATGGAAAAAGTTTTATTTCTATATATTGCCTACGGGTCTCTAAATGACCTACATACGAGTATCTGTCTACGTACATATGTATACGTATGTACGTTGAACGTAAAAAGTTTATAGTCTTTCTCAGTCATATTTCATTGTGTACGTTTGTGTGTATCTATGTATTTTAGGGGGGGAAATACGTAAACTTTTTATACTATTTAATTATGTAAAAATAATTATTTAATATTTCTATGTGAATAAAAGTTTTTTTCATTATGATTATGTTTAAATTCATAATAATAACGTCATCGCTATGCCATCATCATCAAGTTTATTAACATTAATTACGTAAATGCATATGTGCATGAATTTCTAACTGTGATTTTTACTTTCATTTCATTGTCATTGTTTTGCGCACGAGACAATAAAAAAAACCACAACAATAACAATAACAACAACAGCAACAACGGTAAAGTAGAAACACTAAACACAAACACTAACCATAGCAATTATAAAACAATAGCAGCATGTATGTAACTTTGCATCAATCCATTTAATCCATTTAGGTCGAATATGTGAATACCTTTCAGTCATCGCAGCTTTTCCAGAAAAAAACAACAACAAAAATCGACCTCAGAATAACATTGAGTTTCTTTCGAAGTATTTGAAAGCGTCATGTGAATCAGTTTTTAGCTACATATACTACGTACACAATGTGGATAAACTTTTCATTTATTTTGACACTCACGTCTTATAATTAACGGCCGCCGTCGATCAAAGCGAAGGTTTCTCTCATTAGAAAATCACATGGCTTTCGTAAAAAGTCCGGGCGTTAAAGAGAAGAATACTATGTAAAACCTTCCGGCTTATACTTTCCACACCTTGTATTTTCAAAATTAAGGGCAAGAAATTTTGTTCCACTGTGCTTTGCAAAACTAAACGGCAGTTCAAATCTACAACGTACTTACTGTACGCCTCTGAAAGTTTTACAATCTGTTAGGGTCGACTTTAAGCAAAATGGGGAGAAGAGATGCCCAATCTAGGAATGTACACA